AAACATATCAGCATAGGGGAAGCAGGCAATCTGTAGGTAGAGGGATTAAAAGATCTGTGAGCTAGGCATTGGGTTATGAACCTCAAGGTTGGCAGTTCAAATGGTCTTGGAAATGCTCCATAGGATCCCAGAGTGGAAATGGACTCGATGGCGGTGGCTTTGTTTTGTTTTTGATAACGTTCTCGTCTCAGCATCTTGTTGTTGTGACTGTTAGTTGCAGTCTAGTTGATTCTGACTCATGGTGACCCGTATGTTCAGAGTAGAATTGGTCCCTAGGATCTTTCAGGAGCAGATCTTCTGAAGGGAATCTGGGGTGCCAGCTCATTTGCACCACGCAGGGGCTGCCTCGAACTATACAAAACAACAACACAAAAGACCTGTGCTTCAATCCGGTCCATCGGGGCCCTACTCCAGAGCCCCTCCCCCATAGAGTTGTCAAGACTGAACCTCTGCAGTAACCCAACTGCCAGATAAACAGTTCTCCTGAGGAGTGGCTGGTGGTTTGGCAGCGACTGCACTACACCAGAGCGCCTGTCTCAGATTGGTAGGGATCTCTACTCCAGCCTTCGCATCTGAAATATAGATCGGATGTCCTTTGCCATTTGACATTCTCACCAGCAGAACAGAACACAAGGGTTCAGACCCCTTCACATCCTTGTTAACAGTTCCGTGTCTGCTGTATTAGCCCTCCTAGTGGGTGTGACAGGGTATCTCAGTGTGGGTTTGATTTTCATTCCCCCGGGGATATTTTTCTTGTCCATTTGAATGCCTCCTGGGGGAAAATGTCTACCCAAGTCCTTTGCCCACTTGAAAAAAATCTGTTTATCTTTTTGTTGTTGAGTGCTTTATATATTGTGTATACTAATCCATATCAACATAGAATTCATCTCAGTCTTTTAAATACTTGAAACATTGAAAGCAATGCAGAAATTCTAAGCCAGCGTGGCCAAAAACAGAATGAACGGGGTGATTTACAGCCATGTCTAATTTTATTCATGACATCTATGTATTGGCATGGGAAAGGTTTACACAATAAAGGAATGTTTTCAAATTAAGGTGAGAATGGCCTATGGGATATGACCTCAACTATGGTAATAAAAAAAGATAAGCACAGAAATGTAAGTGGGACACCAAGCCTACATACGGTGTTGAGGATGGTTAGCTTTTGCTGGCGCCGTCATTACCTGTGCTCCTATCGTCTGCAGTTTTTCTGTTCTCAAAGTTCTCTATGGTGGGAGTGCCTGAGGAAGAGAAAGGCGACCCCTGCTGTGTTTGTCATGCACTCGTACCCCCTCTGTCCTGTGCAGGTCCTTTGGTGTGCTGCTATGGGAAATCTTTTCCCTGGGATACATGCCATACCCTAGCAAAAGCAACCAGGAAGTTCTGGAGTTCGTGACCAGCGGAGGGCGCATGGACCCACCGAAGAACTGCCCGGGGCCTGTGTATGACTCTTTTAGAACCCTTTCTACTTGTCCTTTGTCACTGTTTTGTTTCTTTCCATGATCGCTACAGCCACACGCACTACTTTGTTTTAAAATTAAGGGGGCAGATGGCTGACCTCATTTAATAGGCCCCAAGACAGAAATGTGTCTGAGACTTTAATGAGATAGGTTTGTGCTCGGCCCCTGCAAAGCAATCAAGCCCCGCCAGGAAAGGGACCCATTGTCTGTTGTCTGGCTGGAGGCTATGGGCTCACCAGGCTTGCTCTTCTAAGACTTCAAGTTCAAGACGCCCTACACCATATGCCAGGGTCTCCTTTAAGTAGCTCCATTCCCGATGTGTTCAGTCCTGTCTGCAGTCTTTCGTCTCCTCCCCACCAGCAAGGCAGATGGGAAATAGGATCCGAGTATTCTGTCCCCAGAGTGGTGGCAGTTCGGGAACAGAACAAGAGGGGTTCTCTTTAAAGTGAACACCAGGATATTTGTGGTTATGAGCTCTGCCATTACAATCACGATATGGGGGACACTATTCCTTGACCCATCAGCAGAGGGCAGCATACGCCACAGACATAAGACCTAGCTGAGGTGCCACCATGTTCTTTTAGAAAAATGCTTGGGGGGCAGGGAGGGGGGGGGTGTCTCTGTAAAGGGGGAGGATGTCTTCTGGTTTTCATGCATGTGATGGTTCTTGCGTTAGGTACCGGATAATGACCCAGTGCTGGCAGCATCAGCCTGAAGACAGGCCCAACTTCGCCATCATTTTGGAGAGGATCGAATACTGCACCCAGGTATAAGCACCCCCTCCCCTCCCCTGGCCAGCATTGACTCCATAGGGCAAAAGCCTTGGCGTGATCAGCTGTGAGAATGGGTGTAGCTGGCCTGTAAGATGGAACGCCTGGCGTCTGTTTGCCCATTTTGTAAGATGAGTGCCAATCTCCCCCAGCACGTGACACTGTGCTGGATCCTCAAGCACACTGGAGCAGTGATTCCATTTGCCAGTGTTGGCACTACCGGGGTACCTGCTGTTTCCTTAGATAGAACTGGGGCTGCAGAAAAGTCTGGAATACACCTGCTCTCATGTAGTTGGCAGCCAGGCTGGAGAAGTTTGAAGCATGTAAAACAATTAGCAGAATATCATAGGATACCCAATGGCGTAATGGCGACACACGCACTGGGCTGCTAACCTAGAGGTTAGTGGTTCGAAACCACCAGCTGCTCAGTGGGAGAAGGATGAAGCTGTCCACTCCTAGAAAGAGTGACCGTCTGAGAAACCCACAGACTGTAACTTTCGGGTCACCATGAGTCAGAATTGACTCAATGGCTTTGGTCTCATTGACTCGATGAGTTTGGTCCTTTGAGTATATAATTGTCACATTAGGACACATAAGGGAAGGCGCCCAGGAACCTGCAGATGTTTTAACACTGTCAGTAGCATTTGCATAGTATTTATAACGTGTAACACTGTCGATAGCATTTGCATAGTATTTATAAAGGGTAAGTCGCTTCTCGCCTATTTCGCTGTATCCTCATTGAGGGAGCAGAATATCCTTTTATAGAGGAGGCATTGAGGTTCAGGCAGATTGTCCAAGCCA